CAAGTATACTTTGCCGTACGATGTCCTCTTTTTAGTTACTGCGACAACAAACTAAATTGGATATACATAGTATACTACGCAAATGTAATACGATCGTGATCGTTGATGTATACTTACAGCGTTTTCGCAGTTTTAATCAATTTTCTACCCCTTACGATAAAAGCGCATTTCTTCTATTTGGTCTGTAGGAAACACATGGATAGAGTTTTATTTCGATCGCTATTATGGGTTTCCAAATGCATTTTCTACTAATAATGCCATGCTTATATCTTATCCCTGCAAAATGCTGAGTTTTAGCGAATAGTAAAGGAAGATTCAAAGCCAAACAATGAGCAGCAGCAAAGCAAACAAGTGTAAAACGATTCAAATTAAAATTAAATTCATACCAATGTCTCTCAAATAAAGTAAATATTTCAATGATTAGTAAACCAACCACAACAAGAATCCAACCCTATACACAATTTACCTAGATAGATTATAAGTTAAGATTTAAATTTAACATGATGAAATGCGTATACGAACTATATTTAAAAGAAGCAACAAAACTACAAACCACGGAAAGGAGCAAAAATATTTTATTAATGAAATATTTTTTGTAAGTATGTAATAAAAGAAAAAAATATATTTAAATTAACTCAATCTATGAAAAAGGATGCAAGAAGACGAGGTAAACTAATTAAACAAAAGTAAATCAACAAATTGTAAACTTAGCTAAACTCGCTTCTGGCGGTGGTCATGAAAAATTAACAATGAATTCTTCTCGAATTATTATAAAAAGTAAGAAGATCAAGCTATATGGGCATTTTAGTTTAAAATTAAACGAAAATATCAGAATTGTGGAAGAAAAGCAAACTCCCCAAATTGAATACAATAATTAAAAGAATGCGAAACAAAGAAAATCATACTCAGTATACAAAAAAGTAAAATTTGTGATTTTTATTTATATTATTAAAACTTTAGAGAAAGGAAAATGAAATGTATAAGCAGCGAATGTTTTTAGACAATTATCATTATGTTTGGCAAGGCATGTTCTTTTTTCGTTATGATTTATTGCAGCTGAACAGGCAAGTAGTACCCAAAATACAATCCTGGAACCAATGGGCAGAATGAGTGGAATGCGGCTCACTACGCAATGATTTCACCAATGTGGTAGCTTCTCTCAACGATAAATCAATACTTCGTAGACATTGAGCTAATGTTTTAATGGTGGAAAAACAAGATAATTTTGCATCGCTCATTAAACTTCTTTGTCTAAATTTTTATATAAAGGCGTTTAGATTTTGTAGAAAAAACATAAAAATTCAACAACAATTCATTGATTGATTCTTTTCATAAATGTTCGCTCACTCGGTTACAAAAGCGCTCTCATGCTCTGCTTGTTGTTTCTAGTGTAGACTAAAAGTCCACCAGTAAAAGTATGGACGACTGTCACCAGAAAACTGATAAAAGCTGTTCGAATTGAACAATGGAATGCATTTTGAAGGTTCTATTGGAACACCTTTTGGCAGGCGTCCAACCTTTTACTAGAGGGCTTTAGTGTTAGCTCCTTGCATCGACATATGGGGTGAAAATATTACCGTTACAGCTGAAAACTGGGAAAACCCACTAGCAAAAATCAATTTTACTCTAGTTCTATACGTTATACAAAGTGTCGGAAGAAGTGCAATGATGCGCTATAGTGCGCACAACTTCCGCCACTATGTCTAACGTGTAGAACAAAGTAACATCAATTTTCGATATTGCGTTTTTTTCAGTTTTCAGCTGTAACAACAATATCATGTTTAAACTTAAATCACGAAGAGAATCAATTCTATCTTAAACACCTCAGAACATGATGAATGAAAGAACTGAATTAGGAGGCGCATTCCACAACATCCCCAAAAACAAGTAACCAATACACGCAGAAAACAAATAGTGCACATCAGAAAAGTTAATTTTTTTCGAAACAAATAGGTTTTAGTTAGCGCTCGTCTGTTTTTATTATCATTATTATTATTATTGAAGGATTATTGTCTATTGATTATAATAATTTTTATTTTATCTATACAACGCAAAAAACTAACTTATCAAAATTAAAAAAAAACACGAAAACAGAAAAAAATAGCTGAGGCCGATTTTTGTCGAATCCGGTCATGGTGGTAACATATAAATATTGAACATATATGAATTATTTTTTAACAAAATAAATGTTTTGTTGTTAAAATATAAGCAATGTGTGTTGTATTCATTAAACTTTATCAACAGCCAGGTATGTAAGATAGGTTTCCACTTAACCGGGGAGGGAATGCACACTACAACTGAAAGACAACAATAGAAGGGAAGCTGCCAATTTGAGGGCAATTCGAACAGATGATTTGTAATTATTCTTGAGGAAAGTGGCTGACGAATCTCACGAATAGTCATACAAATAAACAAAGCGTTTACCAGCGAGAGGGACCGCCGAAAAGTAATATTGGACTGGATCAACCAAAGAAAAAGAGACTCGTTGACGTTGCCGGGTGATGAGAAATGCTAAGGAAAACTGTTGTGAAACAAGCGCGTGCCGAATTTGTATTTTCATTGTACTGTTTGTAGCGCCTAAAATGCAGTGTGTGGCGGTTGACGTGCAGGGTGATTATTTTGAAAGTTATTTGCACTCATGCTCTTGATTTTCGTACCATCAACAAACAAAGTTTCTATTATAAATTCATCGTTTGTCGTACACCCTTCGAGCCACTGTTTTTTTTTTTCAAATTCTATGCTCAGCATACAACAACAACAATAACAAAAGCCCGTCATGAGCGTGATGCGAGTGTTTGTGATGGCTTTTCGACTATTGTACATCAGAAAATCGAACCACCCAACAGAAGGGAGCACAAGCTGGTTAGTCCCTATCCCGCCGAAAGCAGGACCACAAACCAGTGGCCACAGATTGGAGGGCGATTTCCTTTTACGCGTGAGAATAAAATCATTCCTCCATTGATGGTGATTTTTATTCAAATGTAATGCCCGCTTAGAGTGCTTTTTATGGCGCGTATTTCCCCGAGAGAGAAATTTCGAGCACCGCACACTCCTCCTTTGTCTATTCCGTAGGTGCCGGTGTCGGCCTGTTGATGCTGCTTCCGCCACAACTCCAACGACGCAGTGGCAGAGCGAGATGAAGATGCTATTAAAATCAATGGTTGTGGTAGGAAAAGTTTGCTGAATCTTGTTATCCTGCTCACTGGTTGCAGTACGTGACAGGATTTTTTCGGGCTGCTGAAAGTAGGGAACAGAAGAATTATTGAAAATTAGCATAATTTTCAATGCAATTCAATTTGCAGGTTCAAACTTTAACGTAAAGGTTAGAAGCTTGGTTAAAACTTGACGTGCATAAATTGATTTTTTTGGATTGCACATTTATTACATTATATTGGTACATCGAAGAGATTGGTGCATGGATTGAATATGTATTTCTACGTTTTATAAATATTATTTTCGAGTATTTATGCCAATAATTGAATTATTGCCAGTAGCAAAAAATCCAGATAGGGGAATTGGATGTAATGTCGGCCTTAATGCCTCTAATTTGGGCCCATACATAAATTCAGCAATCGTCTAAATTTTCAATAGCGACCAAAAATATCCATTAGTACCGTTCCAATGACGCGTTCGTCTAGATAAAATTGATAAATAGACAGTTCGAAAAAGTAGTGTAAATTTCTGTTCAGTATGTAAAGTTCTGAGACATTTCCTGCAATGTAGCAAATATTGTATACAAAAACCCATTTTTGTAAACAACATTGTTTACAAGTTGCTCGGTTGCGTGAAATAAAATACAAGTTTACGTGAATGAATGTTTACATCACAATTAAAATTCAGAATTTTTATCTGTGTGCACCATTCCTGCATTAGTATAATTGTGTGGCAAGTACGATCATACTCTATGCCCTGGGAAGTCGGGAAAATTATCAACCCGAAAAATTACTAGGCCAGACCGGTAACCGAACCCAGCCATCTCCAGCATAGTCTTGCTTTATAGCTGCGCCTTTACCGACTAAACGAAGGGACGCAACTAAGGCTGATTATTGCAAATTAATTCGTCACTGCGCTTTAGCTCAAAACTACACAAATTATGTTTTTATTGATTTATTAATTTATTATAAAAATAATTGTTTAAACATTAATTATTTTTTCGTCCGTTTTTATTGATTTATTAATTTATTATAAAAATAATTGTTTAAACATTAATTATTTTTTCGTCCGTTTTTATTTTTACCCCTTACCTTGAATGACGCCGGATATACAATGAAAAGAATATTTGCATCATCAACCGAACGCTAGTGTACTAGTTATAATTCACCCAGAAACAAGTTAGCGATAATTTGGAATCATGGTTGCCAATTAGGTGGCCAATGCTATTTGAATTCCATCTTTTATTTATTAGTGTTTAGCCCACTTCTCCTTAGATTATTTTATTGTTGTTTATCTTTATTTAGATACATTCAGCCTTGCACTGGTTTGCTTCTGAGCTTAGATTGTGGTTTTAGCTCTTTTTATTGTTTATTTTCCTATGGTACGAATTTCAATCACCAATGCTAGGGATGTGGCTCCAAACCTAGACCCTTGAATACAAACCCATGAGACACACAGCTATATTCCCCTTTTGAAGGAAGATGAGATTCAACGCCTTAGAAAATCCTTACTACCATGGCTGGGATAAAAGCCACACCCACTGGGGTGATAAAACAGTCACGATTACCATTGCATTTCTATATGTATATAATTAAAAAAGAATAACGATTATTGTTATCTATTGATCATGTACGATTGCACGATTTATACCCAAATTTAAGGCTACCCGAACTAAAGAACCTTTAGTTCATTCCAGTCCACAATTATTCCAGTCATAAACAAGTTGCAGTTGATGTGATGAACTAGCCTACGGCTAAAAATCACAAAAAAAAAGAAAAAAAAAAGTTGCAGCAACTTATTGTGATGGAAGTGTACTTCTTGGGCAGATAAGGCATGGCATTCCCGGTTGGTCAAGGAATTTTTCGGTTTGAAAATTTCTCGATTTCCAGGGTTTCCGCCTATAAATCCGCCAAACATTGTGCTTGTAACTGTCGAACAGTTGAAGGCAAGCGTAAAGTTCCAATTGGTAAGGAAATGAAGTAAAAGTAGATCAAGAAGAAGATTGGACTCTAGAAGCATAATTCGCTCCCGTCCAGAAGGTTTACCGTTGTTTTGGTAAAAGCAGGGTTACTTCCACTCACTTGCTATAAATTTTTTTTTCAAAATCATGAAATCATTAGATGTTATAATGATGATTAGTATTTGTAAGGTACAAAAAGAGGTCGTGAAGTATGTGTTTGGCATATGAACCCTGTCCATACTGCTTTCAGTGCGTCAAAATCAGCGATTTTACGATTCGTGAGCACTCACCCTGAGTGAACGCTCACGAATCATAAGAACGCTGATTGTGACGCTCTGAAAGCGAAATTGACAAGTTTTATGAGTCAGACACATACTTAACATCCTCTTCTTGTTACTTACAAGTAAAACATATCATTATATCATCTAATGATTTCATAATTCCGGAAAACATTTTTTTTATAGCAAGTGAGTGAAAGTAACCCTGGGTTAAAGTTGTAGAAATCCAACAAACTTCAAGTTCAATATAAAGCAAATTTATCGTTGAGAAATGGTTTAGGTTAAGATCAATAGTACAATTTTTTAGTATATTTAGTATTTATCTTTTTTTTTATTTCCTTGATTTTTTTTTCCGTCGATCTTGTTTTCCGTGCTGAGCACCAATGCTACCGACGCCAGGGAAGCAGCTCCCACACCTGGACCCTACCTATCGACCCATCAACTCATGAACCGTGGACCAACGACTTTACATCCCTTCCAAAGGAAGGCGTGATCAGAGATGTTCACCCCTATTCTGTATTTCGTTTCAAACAAAATTCTCATACAAAAAAAATATTTTTTTGTATGAGAATTTCGTTCGAAACGAAATACAGAATAGGGGTGGTTATGCCTCAGAACATCCCAGTGGCGCTGACTGGGATTGAACCTAGGCCTGCTGGGGTGAGAGGCAATCACGATTACCACTAGACCACCGGCACCGCTTAGAAGTTATCGTTATTTTCCGAGGGGTGCGACACATCTAAATCTCGATTTTAAATAGTCGAAAAATCTCACACTAGCGAATCAATCTACGAAAAATCTTTTTTCATCTCTTGCATTTAAACCCATCTACTCGCATCGCTCTCCACATTTTTGCAGGAAATCTTAAAAATCATAATCAATTGTGTTTCTATCTCTTAAGCGCGAGTGCATCTCACAACAGCAAAGCAAAAAAATTCGTGCATCTTAGATAGAGTCGCCCCCCTCGTTATTTTCATGTTTTTTGAATCAATTTGTTATGATTCGGCGACAAAGGACGTGCTACATTGGCTGCAGAATCGAGCGAAAATGAACAACCGAGCATTCTGTGGCAAATTGTTGAATCGTTATCAAGTACATTTATTTGAAACAAGTACATTTATTTGATACATTGAATCTTGAATGAATGTTTTCTAAGTAGCAGTGTTCCGAAAAACTCAAATCTTATGCAAGAGTTTGCCTATGAGTTTGTCTTAGAAAATTCAACGCTGCAATCATTTTTGCTTTATATTTTGACGATATTCATTACTGGTGTTTTTGCATCAATGGAAGGAAAATAAATGCAAAATGCAGAAGCATGCTATCAATTGACGTTTGACCGGTTTTTATGAGTTTCAAGCAGGAATGTTTTTTTTTTGTGTTGTGAGTGAAAATACATGAGCAACTCAAATGTGAGATTTGTTTGTCAGATTCGCACACGAGTTTATTCTCTCAGAACACTGCTAAGTAGCTTTAAACATAATCAAATTTGAGATTTAATCCAATCTCTGAAATCGTAACCAAAGACGACTCACTCGCTAGTGTTATATCTATGCAAAACGTTCAGTCTTCAATCTATCATTTTCGGGTTTGCACTCGATGAGATCACTTTTCATATTCTTTAAGTTTCTCGCCTGTTTTGTTCTTCTGCTGTCAGTTCCGATTCTATATGCAGTAGACTGATGCAAAATTTGAAATTTTCGCTCCACAGTGCTCAAACTGTTTCAAACCAGGTCCTGATTAGCCTCCCAAAATTTAAACTCATTTGGAAAGAAACTGACTTGGCACAAACTATTCGAAGTTTATATGGAAATTACTGT